CGGATGCAAGTCTAGTCTTACTGGAAGCTGTACTTTACTGTACTTTGAAGGCAGGCCAAGCTGGTTAGAATGAAAACATTGAACATAAGTTTTACAGATCATTGACTGTTTGTTCCCACATATTATTTAACATCAGCATGATTTGGGCTTATTTTTTCCAATGTAACAAAACTTCCTGGGAAATAAGGAGTCAAAAATTAATTGAATAATGATGTAAAACTGCCAACTAAACATTAATTGTAATTTTTGGAAACAAATGAGATATAAAACATCAAAATTCTAGTAATTGGATCTTTGTACATACATCATTATTGTGATAATAGGATCTTTTTTGAGGGTTATGTATTTTTTTTTCAGACAACCAATACAGCCTTCCAGACAAACTCTGATACAAGTCACGTTGTCCTTTGGATAACCTGGAAATTTCCTTGAAATCAAGCCCCACTGTTTGTTAATGAGCTTACATATTTTGCAGAAACTGTATTAAACAAAGGAAAAGAAAATGCCTGGAAGGAAGATTCCAGATCTATAATAAAGGCCATGGGAACAAGGCTGAGTGAATTAACAGCATAAAACAAAAAAGAAAGTAGTTCAAGTTGTCTGAAAGTTCCATAAATAAACTTGTATTATTTAAGAAACTTATTAAAATTTTAAGAATATTAATCATTGTTTTTCATTGGTTTCTAAGAATATTGGTGCATGAAATTGAAAACATTTTAGCAAATTATTATGTAATCCACTTCACATAATAAAGATTCACTATAGCCTGATACACATTCAGGTAGGACCAAACTGATTACATCAAAAATTGCTTCATAACTGTAACTGTGATTTTTTAAAAACTACAATGGAACATTAATTGGTACACAATTCATTTTTGGGTTAAACAAAATTTTATAAATTCAGATCAGGATAAAGACCCGATTTGATTCCAGATCTAGATAAAGGCATGATTCGGTCCAGATCTGTTTTTTTTTGTTGTTTTTTATTATCTGAAACAGATCTGGAACTTTCATAAGGGAGGGCATAGAAAAAATAGTATCAAGTGGTTCACATATCCAATCCTTAATCTCCATCAAAACAATTAGGTAATATTATCTGGCCAAGGAGCTTCAACATTCTTTAAAGACCACAGACAATAGAGTATTTTTCATGCTTGAATATGTATATCATATCACACTAAACATAATACGATAAAAAAGTCTGAAAATACTCAAGCTCATGTAGCTCCAAGCCATATTTGGTCACGGTTGGCTAGCTTTAAGAAAATCTAGCGGAAGCGCCACATGACAAACTGGTCAAGCAAACCTACGTCACACAAGGTAAACAAAAATGGCAACAGCAGGTGAAAGAAAGATAGACTTAATGTGTCAATCACACCATACATGTTTCAACCAGATTTTGCAGATCATAATGTATCTAATGTTGACATGTTGGCCGAAGTGAATGAGGACAGGCAGTTGTCTGATCTTTCTTGGTATGGAATTGTTTCAACAGCTATATGTTACAATATCATAAGACTCACAGCCATGAGTGTGGTCACATGGGTAATGATATAGTAAATCTATGAGTAAATTTTAGTTACTATTTGTTTTTTTCAAGTGATGGATCTACATCTAGATGTACATCAAATATCAGCTGATGGACTCCCAATACTGTATTCTGCACATGCTCCCATTTGTATGCATATGACTAAGTATACATTAGGACTGGAAAAGCAAACAGCTTGAATAATACTTTGATGATCAATATTGTAGATCTAGCATTTTTTATGTTGTATATTGATATCTCCAATGAAATTTCATAAAAAAGTGTTATAAACATGAAAAATAAATAAAAAGAACAGCCAAATGTTTGTCCATGCCCTTTTTTTGGTAAATAATAGCTGAAAGTGCAATTTCATAAAATATTTTTGTTTTAGCAGATCTACTGATGTGTTTATAAAACCTGAATGGTTGCTGACAATTCTATATTGCACTTAAAACATTAGCTAAGACCTTAGCTTATCCTGCATGCCTCTCATTTTTGAACAGCTGATCGGACACGACTATCATCGCTGTTATTGGTTTATAAACAAGAGTGTGACGTGCTATTGGCATGAGCCTGGCTGCTGCTCACCATGCTTGATGGATCTCTCTCTAACTTCAGATACATACTGGGCACTGCATCTTTTTTTAGCGCCAGTTTTTTTGCAAATCCCATATCAAATTTAGTTCATTTTCGAAGTCTGATTCCAAAAAATGTTCACTGCATATATATGGAAGCTTTCAGCAGACTCCATTTATCACGAGTTCTTGATATGAACTTTGTCCAGGCAATGGAAACTCATACAGAGATATCTCCATTTCCTTGGGAATGTTCTCACATCCATAAACAATACAGCAAAAAAACATAGTTGTTTTCTCAGAAATAACTATATTTACGATGTCTGTCAAATGAAATTTGCCCAGAAAAACAAGGCCTTGTTTACCTTGAGTGACGTCACTCGCTTCTGACTCAATTTTTCAACCAAGCAATAGCAAAAGGCTGGCTGTTGCATGAATTTTGGGAGCTTTCAGGACTGAGGTGGGGCAAATTATAGAAAAAAGACTTGATCTTAATTTTTGTAACTTATATTTCTATGACATTTAAATATAAATACAAATTTATTGTGTTTTTAACTATCCGACATCTTTAAGTCTATGGCGATGGGTACCCTTTTCTGCACATGTTATGAACATACCTTCTGTAGAGAACAGGTTTTTACTTACTTATATTCCAAATTTAGTTAAGCAATTTCACAATCAATATATGCCAATGAAATTAAAATGAAAATTGACATTACAGTTCAAACTTTTATATTATGTGTTTTAATTCCTTTATTTCAAATGAAACCTCAAAGAAAAATTCTTAAACTTTAGTTATCTTGTCACATGATGCAAAAGTTTACAAAGTCTGAACTTTTTTCTGTAACTTGAATACTTCTATATGTACACCTTACTTCTATGTATAAATAGAAACTAGTTTAGTTGCTCTGTTTATACATTCTTCTTTCATGCACCTTAGGACATGTTTGGAGAAAGGAGAAATAAATTTCTTGAAACTTGACAGAAGCCATGCCCACTTTCTACACAAATAAAATTGATTTCTCAGCCAATTATACTTATTTGAGTTAGATGTTTACTACCAACAGAAGAGCACATTTCAAAGTATGATTTCCCAACAGTTATTTAAAAAATTGGCATGAACAGTTCCATAAAAAACTAGTCAAACCGTTCACAGCATTGGTTCCACTTTTGTCTTAGCTAGCACTTTAGAGTTGTTTCTCACCTAGAAATGTGTTAGTTAGATTGACAGTTGAATTGTATTTAGGTTTAATTTTATACTTCAGTTAATTATGTGTTGTTTATGTTTTAGATGCATATATGAAAGGATTAATGTAAACCATCTTCTCCTCAGTTCATGAGGATTAGCAAGTGCATCATTCTATCAATAGCTAAGGTTTCTCAGCCCATGATACTTTAATACTGGCTCGAGATGCCCATGGACGTGTGTCACAATGAAAAATAACAATGCTAAACGACAGGAATGGGAAATACAACATTAAAAATAAATTATATGTGAAAATGTAAGATATGCAATTAAGAATATAACCAAAAGAAGATGTTTCAAGATTATTTGACTAAAATTAAAAGGTATATACATATTTCTTTTTTTTAAGCATTTCATTGCACTATATGTTGATGATAATAGTTAGAGTTAGTAAAAATAGAAAATAAGATACACACATTTATCTTACAAAACTTACGCTATTTATTTAGGTTCTAGAAGTTATGCACATGAAATTTTGAAAACTATAAGATGGAAAAAAAAATTATACTTAACATGAAAATCACCTTGAAATCAAACAATTCAGATTCTGAGTGCAAATAACTGCAATAAATAAATAACAAATTTTATTGGAAATACTTGATAAAAAAAATTGGTTAACTCTTAATATATTTAATGTAGTTAAACCTCAATTTTTTCTTCACAAGCTCAGAATTAATGTGACCATCTTGTTTCTATTTAGCAACTGTCTAAATTAAGGAATATTGCTTTTATCTTCTTCAGTGAAAATTGAATAAAATGTAGAACTTAATCTACAGCTATCCCATCCCATAATCATCTCTCAAAGGCACTACTCCCATCCTACCATTTCGCATACTATAAATGTGTTGAAAGAAGTCCTTACTATTAAATTATATATTTTCAGCTATACTCTTTAAATGATATGTTTGAAAACTAATGAAATTTTCTTCTAGAAAAAAAACATTTAATCTGTACAGACAGCAGTACATAACTCTGTTCACTGTATGTTGCTGTATTATATGAAAGCATTATTTTGATTGTTTAGTTAGTTTAAACTATTGAGGACTATCTGCATTAGCTACCCATAACATTCAACTGATATTGATAAGACTAGAAGGAAGGCAGTTAATTAACAGCACCAACTGCTAATTCTTGGACTACTCTTATCTGGCCAAACAGTAGGATTTTATCATCATCCTTACAACATATCCATGGCCATAAAATGCAGAACACGATTTTTTTTAAGTAACAGGATGCAACTGATACTGATAGATTCATAATCCATAGTTTGGCATGCCAACATTCAGCCTCATCAAATATACTAGACTCTTATTCTTAACAACATATCCACAGTGCAAAGTTCACACTCAGTTTAAAAGATATATAACATCTAAAAACAGTATCAACTATTTAGTCTCTCCAACTAAATAGTTGGCGACTATTGCCTAGCCTAGTCTACACCACATACTAAATTAGAGGACCATCACCAGATATCTAGCCTCTTCCATAAATAAGTTAATAATTATCACTTGTGTTCTTAAGTTTTACCAAATTTCCATAAATTATGAGAATTCACTGGCAAAGTAGTAATAACGGTGCAACTTGTATTAATACCATACAAACTACTAGTATTAGTTGAACTTGAGAGATATCTCAATAGTTTAGCTCACCTGATTTGGGTGATAGTCGTACACAAAACAGTAAATCACTTCAATATCCTGGGCAACAACTGTATTATTGTACGTCTCATTGAATTCTCCTTGTATGATTTTTGGGAAAAAATTATTAACTTTAGTTGCACTATTTCTTAATGTAGCAAAATTAACATGCTTAGGCTGATTTGTAGTTGTAGCTAGACTGCTAGTCCTTGTAGTTGCAATCTTTCTTTCAACTTCAAGTTCACGACTCGAAAACTTGACGACGTCGATGATACTATCAGTATTATTTTCAGTATTAGACAGAATACTTACACTACTAGTACTATTATTAGTATTAGCAGGAGTGGTATTTGTAGTACTGTTGGTTCTATTAATATTATAATATTGATCTTCAACGGCTTCACTAAATATGAAATTATAACCGCAAATAAATAAGAAAATAACACAGCACTTCTCACTCATGAAATACATGTCAACTCCTTTCTCATAATACTTTAAAGTTTAATAATGTTATAAACACTTTAACTTTAAGCTTCCAACATCAAAAACACGGAACAGATAACATACAACTCCTACTGTCCTACAAATTGTACAAGCAACTTCCTGATACCACATTCTTAAATGATTGACAGTATGGAAAACAAAATGGGAAACTATAACACCAGAATAAAAAAAATGTATCTTTCATTCATATTCTTCAGATAATAACTGTAACAGGTATCTGCAATCTTCATTTCATCCTCTCTTCACTTCCTTTTTAAAACATTGCTCACATAAACATTTTGTAAAAAAATAATCGTGTACTGTAAGATTAATTCACTTAAATAATAATATCTACAACATTTAATTGTAACAAATTTAGTGTCATCAAGATTGTTTAACCATGGGCTGTAAAATATATTAGTACAAAATTTATGTTTGTTTCTTTAAATAATTATGTATTGTGCCTTGTTTTTGTCAATAAATAGTTTTTTTTTAACTTCAGTATTTATGTCTAGTTTCTCTCTTTTTTTTCTTCTTTGTGTGTGTGTGTGTGTGACAGGGAGAATCACGCTCGATAGTTCAATATCCTATAAAATTTCAATTAGCGGGCCCTCTTGACTACTCTGAGGTGAATCCGTAAACCGTAAGATCCCATAAAATCAAACTAGTAATAAAAAAACAACAGAAACCCTCTATATTACAAAGCGAAGTACAAGTTGTTAAACGGAAATAAGCGAAACCTAAAATCTTTCAAGTCTGTCTTATAATCAAGGGAAAGACTGCCTTTATACACAAAGCAAAGTAAAACAAATACAGAATGATCAGAGCTCATATATCACTCACGTGACACAGACCATTGTTACTTCAGCACAAAGGCGGCTACCCCTTCCCTCTGGTGAAGGGGGCAATTTCTGATTCACTGACAGAAGCAACTATCTATTTTGGGACATCACGGTGAAGCTACAGCTCCCTTTCCTGTAAGATAACACGATTAATATCTTTTGTAACCTCTTCAATCACGCTTCCTCCAGGTAGTGTATAAATTAAAGTATTGAAAATGAAGTTTACAACACTCCATCTTCATTGTTCGGGAAGTCCCTCGAACAGTCCTTTTACAGAAAGAAAATTCTACACTAAACTGTCCATTCATCAAGTCTTTTTGCTTTTAGTGGTTTTCTCTTCTGAGGCCTATAATATACAGTTGGGATGGCCTCTTGTCCTTTGTAGTCACTGGCTGTCCTGTTGCTGGGGGAGTTCTTCCAAAGTATGTGATCGAGTGAATCATCTATTGGCTTCATCCTTGATGGTCCTCTAGAAGTGGTCATGAGAACCCTGGACTCCTCATTTATATAACATGATCTTTGGTTTAGATCGCCATCCTTCTGAATTCTATAAATCATATCATTATTTATTTTCATTACAATATATATGATCGTTCCCTCCACTTGCTTAACTTTAGAGATTATTCTTTCTTGTGGCAGGGATCAAGGATTATACACCCTATCATGGCACTTCAATAGAATCCACTTTTGTCAACATTAACACCATGGCAACTTTTCAGCTGAATAAAGTATTGTATGACATATTTATTCTTCACATCCATGATAGTTCTTCTAATCATCAATTCCTCAGAAAAATGGCGCATTTTTTTCCCCACGGTTACTTTGTGGAAGAGGGCCGAGCATACTGACAGAAATATTTTGCAAGTGGAGTTCCAAAATAATACTGCTGTAGCTGTCTATACTGCTATTTTTACACCAATATTTTATAGATTCCCAGCACCCAACCCAATAGATGCGTTCTTTGATTTTTTTCCAGTGTATTTTTAATATTTAAATGTAGAGCCATTGGAAGATTGTAGAGATGAATGACTATCTTGGAATGTAGAAACAGCAAAATACCAACTGCAGACATTGTTTCTGTCCTCTGATATCTTCCTATTTCCGACATAATAACCCCTCTTACAAGCATAATGAATCCCATTTTGCTCAGCACATCTTTCTCATCAGTTAGAGTCAGGTCACAAAATACTTTGAGACAAAATTTTCTCTAACACCAACCCAAAACTAAAAAAGAAAGGAACTGTTTAGAAACAATAGAAACCATCAAGGCAGTTAGTCTTTCACAAAACCATTACAACGGCTCTAGCAACATCAGCCAAATTTGACTGAGTTTATTCACCTAGCTTTGACTTACACACTTGACCTTAAGTTTCTCTTGAGCGAGATGACGATATTCCAAAACATTAACCCCTTGTATCTTTTGTGCTAAACAATTTTGTATATAAATCCGATATGTTTAGTTGCAGATCATACCCAAAGAAAACGGACTAATGTTCAGTCGAAACATGGGGTATATTCCCCAAAATAAAACTGCTTTATTATGCTTATAAGCTCTTGTTTGTCAATTTACTATTATATTAGCATAATGTACTTCCATACACAAGTATACTCCAGTATTATAACGTTTTTTTTCTTTTGATAAGTTCGTTTTGATTATTTGGTAAAACAATAATGCCAAGTTCAGTATAAGTAATAACAGTAACTTCATTCATTTCTTCTGTAACAGTTGTTATGAAGTTCTTTCACTTCACAGCCAATATTGTTACGTCTCCGTTTGTTAATTAACTTTTCGTAACTTCGTTCCGACGAAACTTTAGCGACACAAGTCCTTACTTAATAAAACTGGTTTATTCTTTCCGAATATAACTTTACGTTTCACTTAATTTCAACAATCACGCTAAAACAAACGCTATAACAACGAACGTGCTCAATAATACTCTCTGACTGCAGATCGATTACCCACTGTCCACACACACACACAATGTCCCGTCACGTT